GCTCCACCACACCCGGCACTTTTCCCTGCAACCGCAGGAAGTGCTACACCTGCCCCCATACCTCCTCCCTCACCCCCATCCCAGGCCCCAAGAAGACTTTCCACATCAAGCAGATGTTCACCTGCACATCTGCCAATGTGGTATACTGCATCCGCTGTACCCGGTGTGGCTTCCTCGACATCGGGGAAACCAAGCGGAGGCTCGGGGACCGCTTTGCAGAACACCTACGCTCGGTTCGCAATAAACAACTGCACCTCCCAGTCGCGAACCATTTCAACTCCCCCTCCCATTCTTCAGACAACATGTCCATCCTGGGCCTCCTGCAGTGCCACAACGATGCCACCCGAAGGTTACAGGAACAGCAACTCATATTCCGCTTGGGAACCCTGCAGCCCAATGGTATCAATGTGGATTTCACAAGTTTCAAAATCTCCCCTCCCCCTACCGCATCCCAAAACCAGTCCAGCTCGTCCCTGCCTCCCTAACCTGTTCTTCCTCCCACCTATCCCCTCCTCCCACCTCAAGCCGCACCTCCATCTCCTACCGACTAACCTCATCCCGTCCCCTTGACCTGTCCGTCCTCCCTGGACTGACCTATCCCCTCCCTAACTCCCCACCTACACTCACCTTTACTGGCCCCATCCCCGCCTCTTCGACCTGTTTGTTTCCTCTCCACCTATCCTCTCCTCTATCCATCTTCTATCCGCCTCCCACTCTCTCCCTATTTATTTCAGAACCCCCCTTCCCCTCCCCCTTTTCTGATGAAGGGTCAAAGCCCGAAAAGTCAGCCTCACTGCTCCTATGATGCTGCTTAACCTGCTGTGTTCATCTAGCCCTGCACCTTGTTGTCTCGGATTCACCAGTATCTGCAGTTCCTACTATCTCTGATTCAATTTTAACCCCCTTCCAAACCCATGACCACTTACATCTCGAAGGACAAGGGCAGCAGTTATATGGGAACATCACCACCTTCAAGATCCTCTCCAAGCCACTCACCATCCTGATTTGGAAACATATTGCTTTTTCTTCACTGTCACTGGGTCAAAATCCTGGAATTCCCTCCCTAATGGCATTTTGGGTCAACCCACAGCAGGTGGGCTGCAGCAGTTCAAGAAAGCAGCTCACCACCACTTTCTCAATGGCAACCAGGGACAGACAATAAATGCTGGCCAGCCAGCGACACCCACATTCCACAAATGAAAAATTAAAAATTTCCATTTGCCTTTCTTATATGTTGCACCTGCTTACCCACTTTCTGCAATTAATGCACAAGAACACTCTGCACTTACACACTTTGAATTTGCTTCCCATTTATACAATAATTTGCCTTTTTATTTTTCGGGCCAAAATTGACAACCTCGCACTTATCCACCTTAAACTCTGCAGGTCATTACAATTCACTAAGTGTCATTCTTCTCCGTACCCCCCCAGCATCTCTTATTCTAAACCACAAATCTGGTATTAATTAGTCCTTAATACCGCGACTTTTTTTGCCTTTGATGGTTGACAGTAATCGAAATATGAATGGCAGGATATATCAAGTGTGTCGAATTATACAGGTCACCTCCACAAATGTAACATTCCTTTTTGATCCTAGGAGTTCAGTGGTCATAAGACAAAGTTTTTAAATTATTGCAGTAATTTGCTCCAAGAACGAATAAAACGTTAAACAAAAGACTGATATTAAATACGGTTCTGTGTTTTTTCACTTGCTTTTACCTGCCTCGTAAATTTTTATTCTAAACAAACTTGTTCACAGACATTTTGTTCACTGTTTAAAACAAGTTTAAAATTGAGTTAAAATTGAACGATAGGTAGAGCAGAAAACTGGCATTTTGCAGTAACAAAATTGCTGATTATTAATTTGTTCCACTCACATAATAACACATTATGAAGTAAGTATACTCACTTGTTGTCAGACGATAAGACACAAAATATGATTCAAATGTTCGCCTCAGTGAGGGAATTAAATTTCTCTGGTCCCCAACCCTAACAACAATCAGCCAGGCTTTCGTCCTTTCAGCCGATATGCCTAAAAATAATCGCAGCCTAGTTTTAATAAATTCCACCTCCTAAATCTTTCATTCCTCTATAAAACTGTCACTCGACGCCACCTTCTTCAACCGTTAACGGAGTTTAACGGCCACGCGGTGACGTCAGAGGGGGTCGGGGCCGAAAATTCTGGAAAGAGCGATCCAGCCATTGTCTGGTGGAGGGAACTGTCATCCGGTACGATCAGAGATAGTAGGAACTGGAGATGCTGGAGAATCCGAGACAACAAGGTGCAGGGCTGGATGAACACAGCAGGTTAAGCAGCATCATAGGAGCAGAGAGGCTGACGTTTCGGGCCTAGACCCTTCATCAGAAAAGGGGGAGGGGAAGGGGGTTCTGAAATAAATAGGGAGAGAGTGGGAGGCGGATAGAAGAGGGATAGAGGAGAGGATAGGTGGAGAGGAAACAAACAGGTCGAAGAGGCGGGGATGGGGCCAGTAAAGGTGAGTGTAAGTGGGGAGTTAGGGAGGGTTAGGTCAGTCCAGGGAGGACGGACAGGTCAAGGGGGCGGGATGAGGTTAGTCGGTAGGAGATAGGGGTGCAGCTTGAGGTGGGAGGAGGGGATAGGTGGGAGGAAGAACAGGTTAGGGAGGCGGGGACGAGCTGGACTGGTTTTGGGACCGCTTTGCAGAACACCTACGCTCGGTTCACAATAAACAACTGCACCTCTCAGTCGCGAACCATTTCAACTCCCCCTCCCATTCCTCAGATGACATGTCCGTCCTGGGCCTCCTGCAGTGCCACAACGATGCCACCCGAAGGTTGCAGGAACAGCAACTCATATTCCACTTGGGAACCCTGCAGCCCAATGGTATCAATGTGGATTTCACAAGCTTCAAAATCTCCCCTCCCCCTACCGCATCCCAAAACCAGTCCAGCTAGTCCCCGCCTCCCTAACCTGTTCTTCCTCCCACCTATTCCCTCCTCCCACCTCAAGCCGCACCCCCATCTCCTACCTACTAACCTCATCCCGCCCCCTTGACCTGTCCGTCCTCCCTGGACTGACCTATCCCCTCCCTAACTCCCCACCTACACTCACCTTTACTGGCCCCATCCCCACCTCTTCGACCTGTTTGTTTCCTCTCCACCTATCCTCTCCTCAATCCATCTTCTATCCACCTCCCACTCTCTCCCTATTTATTTCAAAACCCCCTTCCCCTCCCCCTTTTCTGATGAAGGGTCTAGGCCCGAAACGTCAGCCTTTCTGCTCCTATGATGCTGCTTGGCCTGCTGTGTTCATCCAGCCCTGCACCTTGTTGATCCGGTACGATCAGCCTGCCGTGTATCACCGGCGTTTCTTGCTGGTTTTTGTGAGGAAGTGGGAATCATCTCTCATGAAGTAGCAAGGCACACGTGTTCGCTGAATGAGTATTTTGACACAGTATCATTGTTCTGCCTTTTCTCCATACCTCTTTGCTTTATTTCTATTATAACAACCATCTAAAGGTCTTTGGATATCTCCGTTGAAAGTGCTTCCGCCTCACTTCCAAGCAGTACACTCCAATAGTTTCTCACCTAAGGTTTGACCTGTTCTGTAAATTGCTTTAAAAGTGCGCTCTCTCCTTCTCAGTCCTGTGTGACCTGGAACAGGTTCTCCTTATCAGCTCTGTCCAAATCAACCAAGATTTTTGAAAGCTTCTATCAATGTCTTTTTACCTTCTCCACTCCAAGGTAAACAGTTCAAATTTCTCCAAATTCTCTTTGTAACTGAAGTTTTGCATCATTGGAAGTATCCTAGAATATCTTACAATAAAGTGAAGTCCCTAATACTACCTGCCATGCGAGTTCACCTCCACTGTCCTGACAGCAATCTACATCCCACTCCATGCGGAAGTGAAGAGTGCGCCTGATGTAGGATACAACGCTACAAACAGTCATGAGAAGGAATACCCTGAGGCCCTGTTCATCGTAGCAGATGACTTCAACCTGTATGCACTTTTTGATCTGTCCATCCTTTGCTTGCTGTGATCTGCCTGTACTGCTCGTAAACAAAGCTTTTCACTGTGTTTCAGTACACGTGACAATAAATCAATCAATCAACCAGGCCAACCTGAAAAATACCATCAACACATCTCCTGTCCCACCAGAAGTCCAAACATCCTTGACCATCACTACACAACGATTGCTATACTGCTGCATCCCCTGTCTGGATTTTGGAAAATCAGATCTCAACACTGTTTTCCACCTGGCTTACAAGCTGAAATTGAAGCGCAAGGACCCAGTATAGAAAGTAGTGCAGCGTTGGTCTGACGTAAGAGAAAGGCTTCTGCTAGACTGCTTAGAGTCGGTGGACTAGTCCATATTCAGTAACTCATCATCCAACCTAACTGAGTATGCCACAGCTGTAACAGATTTCATTTCCAAGTAGGTAGAAAACTGCATGCTGAAGAAGTTAATTTGAATATTCTCCAAACGGGAACCATGGGTGAGGATATCCAGTCCTTACTGAAGCCCAAGTCTGAAGCATTCAAGTCGGGCAACCCTGACCTATACAGGAAATCAGATACAACATTTGTAAGGCCATCAGAAATGCCAAGCGGCAATACCAAACTAAGCTTGAGACCCAGACTAATCACACAGACACCCATCATTTGCGGCAAGCCTTCCACAACATAACAGGCTACAAAGCAAAGTCAGACAGAATCATGGACAACAGTACATCCCTTCCCAACGAGCTCAATGCATTCTACGCTAGCTTTGAACAGAAGATCAGTGAAATGATGTAACCTATCCCAACAGCCTTGGATGCACCTATACCCACAGGCACCGCTGTAGACTTTAGATTGGTTTGGATGGAGACCCCGGCCATGCACTCAGATCCTGTGTGGGCCAGCTGGCCAGAGCATTCGCAGACATCTTTAACTTCTCTTTACTATGACATAAGTCCCCATCTGCTTCAAGAAGACCACCCTCATCCCAGTGCTCTGCTCCTATGATGCTGCTTGGCCAGCCTCTCTGCTCCTATGATGCTGCTTGGCCAGCCTCTCTGCTCCTATGATGCTGCTTGGCCTGCTGTGTTCATCCAGCCCTGCACCTTGTTGTCTTGTACCTGATGTAGGTATCCATGTTATTCAGATGTTCCAGTAATGAGGGTTGGACTAGGGAGATGGTGTTTGCTATGGACCTGTTGACGGTAGATGAATTGCAAAAGATCAAAACAATTTGGTAGGTCGGAGTTGATGTGAGCCATGATTAAATTGTCAAAGCACTTTATAATTATGGAGGTCAGAGAGTAGTCATTGATTTTCTATGATTTTCTTTAGCACTGGGATGAGGGTGGTCTTCTTGAAGCAGATGGGCACTTATGTCATAGTAAAGAGAAGTTAAAGATGTCTGCGAATGCTCTGGCCAGCTGGCCCACACAGGATCTGAGTGCATGGCCGGGGTCTCCATCCAAACCAATCTAAAGTCTACAGCGGTGCCTGTGGGTATAGGTGCATCCAAGGCTGTTGGGATAGGTTACATCATTTCACTGATCTTCTGTTCAAAGCTAGCGTAGAATGCATTGAGCTCGTTGGGTAGGGATGTACTGTTGTCCATGATTCTGTCTGACTTTGCTTTGTAGCCTGTTATGTTGTGGAAGGCTTGCCGCAAATGATGGGTGTCTGTGTGATTAGTCTGGGTCTCAAGCTTAGTTTGGTATTGCCGCTTGGCATTTCTGATGGCCTTACAAATGTTGTATCTGATTTCCTGTATAGGTCAGGGTTGCCCGACTTGAATGCTTCAGACTTGGGCTTCAGTAAGGACTGGATATCCTCACCCATGGTTCCCGTTTGGAGAATATTCAAATTAACTTCTTCAGCATGCAGTTTTCTACCTACTTGGAAATGAAATCTGTTACAGCTGTGGCATACTCAGTTAGGTTGGATGATGAGTTACTGAATATGGACTAGTCCACCGACCCTAAGCAGCCTAGCAGAAGCCTTTCTCTTACATCAGACCAACGCTGCACTACTTTCTATACTGGGTCCTTGCGCTTCAATTTCAGCTTGTAAGCCAGGTGGAAAACAGTGTTGAGATCTGATTTTCCAAAATCCAAACAGGGGATGCAGCAGTATAGCAATCGTTGTGTAGTGATGGTCAAGGATGTTTGGACTTCTGGTGGGACAGGAGATGTGTTGATGGTATTTTGGGAGCATATTCTTCAGGTTGGCCTGGTTGATTGATTGATTTATTGTCACGTGTACTGAAACACAGTGAAAAGCTTTGTTTACGAGCAGTACAGGCAGATCACAGCAAGCAAAGGATGGACAGATCAAAAAGTGCATACAGGTTGAAGTCATCTGCTACGATGAACAGGGCCTCAGGGTATTCCTTCTCATGACTGTTTGTAGCGTTGTATCCTACATCAGGCGCACTCTTCACTTCCGCATGGAGTGGGATGTAGATCAGGTTCCTGCTTATTGACTACAGTCTGCCTTCAACACCATTATTCTCAAGGTCTCGCATGTCCCGCCCTGTAACCGGATTGTTGACTTCCTGACCCATAGACTGCAAACCCTGTGGCTGTAGCACTGTATTCTGCACTCTGTTCTGTTACCCTGATGCACTTTGTATGGTATGATCTGCCTGTACAGCATGCAAAACAACACTTTTCACTGCATCAAATCAAGCTTAAACTCAAAATTCTCATTGCTTTTCAAGTAGTAGGTCATTCAACTTGTTTAAGTCTGTTCTGCAGGTCAATGAGATGAAAGCTAAACTGATTGTGTCTTCAGCGCTACTTTCCTACTACCCAAGCATGACACCCTTTGACTCCTTCAAGAATCTATTCATTTGTCTTAAAAATATACAATAAATATGCCCTGCCTTAGAGCTATAACGGGATGATTGTGCTGTTAATCACTTTTCTTATGAGACAGACCAGGTTTATTTCTGCTGAGACCAAAAATCACACGACTCCAGGTTATAGTCCATCAGGTTTATTTGAAGACACAAGCTTTCGGAGTCTCACTCCTTCTTCAGGTGTCAGGAGAGAGGTAGCATCAAACACAGAATTTATAAGCAAAAGATCAAAGGGTCATAGAACTGACGCAGTGTTGAA